GCTGCCCTTCTTGAACAGCACCGTATAGCATGCGAGGGAGGAGAGGCGGGTTCAAGCCAGAACTATGACTCGGGCGCGACAGAAGGTGCAGAGAAAAACGCAGCCATCTGGGTCGGCTTATAATGATGCAAAAAGGATTTTTTCTGGGAAATGAACGCACAGGAAAGATAGATATGTGGGGAGACAGATGTGTACAGAAGCCAGGCTGAGAGCGCGGAATGGGGAGATGAGACGACGCGTCGAGTCGGGGCAGACGCGCGACAGCCGGAAGGAACGATCGTCCAGCACCTTCTGGTCGCGCACTGTGTCTCCCTTGACAGATGGCGATTTCTGTGCAAAGCACTGCTTTTCCCGATGTACTCTCCCACTCGCATTGGCCACTGTGCAGGTGAGCTGAATCTTGACCTGAATGGACACACCTATGCACTGCTGTCATTGTGGAAGATGTTGGTCATGTGTGTCGCCCAGTATGCCAGGTATGTGTATTAGGTGTGGTGCTTACAGCAGACGGACAAATATATACACCTTCAAATGTTGACTATGTATGGATTAATTACCAATGTACCCAATGGCTTGCAATACGGCTTTCCGACGGTTTTTGCGAGATCGGGGCACCTCAACATTGGGGAAATATCCTACAAAATACCCACGTAATTTGTATCCAGTCAGCTCTTTAACCTCATTTACATTTGTGAGTGGTGGTAGAGTCTGACGCTAGGAAGCAATGAGATGGAAATTGTTAATACTGAGAAGCAACCTACCTTGTAGATGGTATTCCAAGGATAGGTGCCATCTTCGAATGGAACTTCTTCAAAAGGTGTGCCAGTACCCAATCCTAAGGATGCATTACGCAGCTACAAAATATGTTAACTATAATGATGTTAAAGCCAAAATAGAAATGAAATATACCAGAACTGCAGTCTTGTGCATCTTAATTTGGCGTTCCTCAATGGAATCTATGCCATCTTTGATAATATGCACATCAGCTGAAGGATACATTGAGAATGAGAATTTACCTTTGATAGCACCATTGTCTTCTTTTAGAGTGGTCACATCAGCTTTGAGGATAGCTACATCAGCCTTGAGGGTAGCTATGTCAGCCTTGAGGGTAGCTATGTCAGCCTTGAGGGTAGCTATGTCATTTCTTATTGGTTCCAGACTAGCCGCCATAGCGTTGGCAAACCAGGGCGGAGCCACCTGTAGTGCAACTGCTAATTGGCAGCTATTTAGCCATTACTATTAGCACAACGTAAACAATTACACACCTGGGTTTGCAGCTGCAGCTGCTACAAGAACAGCATTCTTGTATTTGATTACATCTATTAATTGATCTTGAGATACATAAATTCCGCCATCAAGACCTCATCATCTCAATTAGGAGAACGCAAAAAGATTCAAATCAGATGAGTACTTACGACGATGATGCATTGCATCATGTTCAAATAGATATGCAAGAGCTACATCTGTATCTGTTGGAGGGTCATTAGGTGGGGAAGGTGTTGTTAGGGTTCTAATTTGCGGAGGTGCAGGTATAGGATTAGGAGCAACCATTCTAGAGAAGCAACGGTATATATGATGAATGCTTCTATGCCGTCACAGGTGCTTACTCGTGATGGAGAAAGGAGTGGAAAGTTGATACAGGCGAGAGTTCGTGATGTACGTTGCAAGACAAGTTAAGTGGTGGCGGCTGGCTCCTAGAAGTTCAACCTGATCATTTTGAAACTGAGTTTCGCGCGAGAGGGAGGAGCATATCATTGTGTCAGCCACTTGATAAGATTTTTATTGCTGGGCACTCTCAAAATTGATTGACAATTTGAATAGGCGGATCTGTCAGAATCTTGTCTGAGATGGTTTAGCGATTTATTGAGTCGCTCTACTGAATCCTACTAAAATGTTATCAAGTGACCACCCCGGCATATCATAAAGTGGCTGAAATTTACAGTAGTTCTCGATATCAACGTATTCCTGAGAGCAGAGAGGTCCCTCCACGGGCATAATTCAGTATCTATTTTATCACCTTAGAATGGAAATTAGATACATAATGTCATGGGATTTGCTGTGCTTTTGCTTCATCCTACCCATAGCCGCGAAAGCAATTTTGCATTGGTCTCCTTCATATCCACGATTCGGCATCATTACATAGTACACAGCTGTTTTGAGGGGATGTGTTGCCTACATAGGAAACAAATACCTGTAGCTGTCGCACTGACTTCACAAAGATCGAATTGTGAAGTCAGTACGCCAACATTTCATGCGAATATATATATGCAGCATTAATCTAATGAACATAATTATCCATTTAAAATAGATTTCCAACCAACACGAGCGGTGTCGACCGTGAAACAGTCTCCATATCGCGCGAGGTCCGATAGCGCCAGCGCCTGGCGCACTTCGAGTCTTTAACGCCTTTGCTAATCTATGCTCCTTGAACCTTCTCTCATACTAGAACGCCATTCGTCTCGCTCGTTATCTTGCCCCCTTCTTCACATTCTCTGGTACAGTTCTCACCCTCCTTCCAATATGACCAGGAAGCTTCTAGATTTCACTTGTACTGCTCACATGAACTCAACGCTCAAAGAGATTCAGCGCTGCGGCCAGACCTTTCGACAGCTCCACCTCTTCTGACCTGGATGAACTATTGTAGCTATCCTAAAATATAGGTTGTAGACATCACAGCCTTTACAGCGATGTAGTTCATCAAAATGAATCGAAAGCTTCTTATCGAACGTTATCGTATTGAACCTAAGCACACATGCACGCACGGGGCTAGATGCACAGTAAGTAAGACCAGAGCCTTGGACCACAATCCCGCCGTCACTGAGCATCATCTGAACCTTACAGAGCTCGAGGACGAGGTAGGCGACTGCGCAGCTTGCGGTTGACTGCGGCCAATGGTGATACGTACGCAGCACACTCCTCAGTATGAATCCGGCCAATTGATGTAATCTTACACATGTCAAGGACTAACTGGCGCCAACTGCTTCAGCCCGGCGCAATTCCTGCCCGCAACTGACTCTGCTGAACGAGCTTCCAGAGTTCCAGGGGTATCTGTGTGTGATATGCGAGTACAGGGGTGCACATTACATTGCTGTATGAATGCTTCACATATCCAAAAAAGATAGAGGATTGTCTTCATGCCAGATTGATATCACGCACATCAAGTTGAAGCCATCGTATAGCATCTACAGCGCGAGGGAGCATCGTGAAGCAGTGCTTGAGGTACGTATGCAGAGTGGGCGCCAGATTCACTTCTAACGTATACTGTACCGCTGCACGGAAGAGGGGACCGGCATGGATCTATGGTGTTTGAGAGTTGCGCACCTACAAAAATTCGTCAGCATCAGAGCGACTGAGCTAACATATTGACTAGAGCATACATTTGTCTATTTGTCTACACTAACTGTCCTTTTCAACGGTCGCGCACATTCAAGTGCGAGGATTTACTACTTGTCTGCATCGCACAAAATCTCCACAGCGCACAGCAGTCAGCAAACCACAAGAGGGGAATATTCTATACAGTAGACGCTGCGACGTTGACTCAGTGGTTGCTGTAGTAATAGTAGACTAATACTCGTCTCACTGAAGATCCTCAGCCTCACCGTTGACCATGGTAGCATCGGCCATGCTCGCCACCACTTCCCTCAACGATCAACACATACGATTAGAGTGTCCAAGCCTACATCTATAGAAAGCATCACCACAAGGGCTGAGAACGTGTCCACATGACAATCCCAGGGCTCAGGAAGTTGGTATTCAGCTAGAGCTCAACGTTCAACTTTGCGAGCAGTCTTCCGTCCAGCAGGTTGTGTGTGCTTCAAAGTGCCAACAAGGCGTGCCGGCACCAGTGGAAAAGTACGGAAGAAATGGGCCTGCGCGAAGAAGTTGCCATCTACAAAAGGAGAGACTGAGCGACTCGGAAGACGACACAGGCTTTGGAGAGCCCGACGGCCCCGTCGTTTCCTTTCTTGACAGTTGCATGCCTCCTCGCTCCGCTCTGTCCTAACTTTCCCGTTCCCTCACCTCTGCATCCACTCTGTGTCCGTACTATACTGATGCATCGTCCTATACTTGTCTGCTGGAAAATCATCCTGCTGCAGCTTTCTGTCGTGCCTACGCCCTCATTCTGGCTTGAATGTGTATTCTGGGGATAGACTCATGTTCATTGCGACACAATTATCATTGTAAGTAGAGGTCAAGGGTCGTAGCGCATAATTGCACTGCAGCACCTTCCAGGCATTTCTTAATCTGTGGCGTCCAAGCTGCGAATGTGAGCACACTAATCTTGAATGAGCCTGGCTAAACTTCTATATTAAGCTCCTATCCTTCATAATCTGGATGCAGTAGGCTAGAATGAGAGGGACAGGGATGTGGGGATGCAGGGGGCACTACAGATGGCAATTGAAGGAACACTCAGGGTTGAAGCAAGGTGCTGGGTGGTGATTTCCATGGATGAATTCTTCCCACACATCTGCCTTTCCCATGCCCTCATCACCCAATGGATGACAAGTCTTCTCGCCTCCAGTATATACCATGATAGCGTGAACAGTTCCGTCTCACAACAACCTTACCCGCGAGGCACATTTTGTCGTGCGACGGTTAAGGTGCACTCGTAGGAAATTCCTTCAATTCTGGATCCACTTGACTCCCTGTTATGCCCGCTATCAATTATCCTCCGAGGACAGGCGTTAAGGCCTGGGCTTGAGAAACGAAGCTTTGAGAGAGCAGGAGCTGCCGCGGATGAAGACCGAATGCGCATTCCGCATGGAACTAGGACACTGGGAAGTCGCCTTCCGTGGATGGACTGAGGCGTAAGCTAAGCCGAGACACCGCAAGACCAAGGTGCTCTACGGCAGAAGAGCCGAGGGGTCACACAAGTGTCTCAAGTTCGGCAATGACAGCAATTGTGCCAGCGATGGCAACAGTGATGTTGATGAACTCCAGGAGGAGAGCAGCGGACGAGCAAGCATGGAGCTAGCCGAATACAATGTTGAACAGTCCAGGGTCGATGACCTCATGGCAGGGCACTCTGCGGGGCGAAGAATGATGTGTTTGTGCCAGTCAGAGCGACAAAGGAGATAAAGAAGAAAGGAAGGACAAGAAGGCTCAGATGGCAAAGAAACAGACTCAAGAAGGTGACAAGATGAGATGGATGTTATACTATAGTCCGATAACATATTGACAAGGGATGGAAAACTACATAGTATGTGGTGCTAGAATAACAGAGCTGAGCGGTCTGCATGAGGTATGTCTGGTGTGGCTATGATACAAACAAATGCATGTACATGGGACTTGTTGGTGGATTTGATATGTCAATTTCGAGCCCTGTGGATGAGATACTTGCGGTCAGGTACTGCATGGCATGAAACTCGAACTAGCATCGATGGGCAGATTGATGAAGTTACTGGATGGGGAATGCGGCAGGGTGCGCTAGCAGAGGTGCGGGCTAAAAGCAACGTAAGCCCCGAGCTTCAGGCCCAGGCTCCTCGACATCAAGGATTACAGGAGAGGCAGGAGAAGTGCAAGAGATATATGGTGAGAAACCGAGATGTAGGTGCAATCGGTGGCAAAAATGGCGACTTAGAGGAGGCGACCACTCGCATGTAGTGCTGGAAGCCTTGATGAGAGCAGCGTGCGCCAGGAAGCTTCAGATATAACGTCCATCGCCTCGCTGGAATCCTCGGCAAAGCAACGAAGAAGAAGCGTGACTTTCCGGAGGGCAGGAAATTGACGGCCGGAGAGGATGCGGTCCATCCGTGGAAAGCCACAATCGTCGATGCTATTCAATGTATCCTGGACGGAGACGAGTCTCCCCCGAGTGGCGGGCCGGGACTTAATTATGACCTCAGCTAGCTTGGGCAAGGATGTGCGAGACAGGAGACTGGCTGCCTTGGCGATGTCTTCAAGGTCGTTATTGAAAGACAGAACACGCAAGTTGAGAGCGGGCGTGAGATCGATTGAGGGGACTGAGGAAACATTGTCAGCGGATACTGGATGACGTCACCTCCGCCGCATACCTTCGTGAATGTCCCGAACCTCCAGAGACAAGAGCGATTTGGCGGACAGAGCGAGCAGCTTTGAATGCTTCCTCAGGTGGTGTCCATGGCATATTAGATGCCGAAGGTGAACTCCGATCGACGCAAGGAGGTCAAATACGTCGTCGCTGTCGTACAGATCAACGACGTCGAGTTGGAGGGAGCCCAGGGGCACTCGTACCACGCCCTCGACATGGCAGCCCTTCTTGAATTGCACATACCAGCACTTGAGGGAGGCCAGGCGAGGCAGCGCACGCAGAAGTCGCCCAAATACCACCGCAGAGGGGAAGGTCACGTTGAAAAGCTCGAGCTTGGTCACGGATCCGAATGTGAGAGTGACATGGAGGAGGACTTGCGCGTGCAGTTGCCCAGTCTCCCATGTGCAATGCCAGAGTTTGAGGGATTCGACTCGGGGCAGCTTCTGCACCATGCGCACAGCAAACGACCCAAGGAGGCCAATCGATCTCAACTCAAAATCGAATAAGACTGTCTCGACGGCACCGCATTGCTCGGGGTGCTTGCACAGTGTACTCATCAGGTGATACATCTCCTTCTTGTCCATGCGCCGCATGCGCAGCCTCTCATAACTACGAAAGCGACATTGGGCATGCCACCCATGACACACTTGACCAAGTCGTCGCATATCGTAGATGTCGTCGTCCGCAATGAAATCGATTATGTGGTCCCATAATTCTGTCGGAAGTCGACTCGAAACCACGGGACATATATCGCATAGCTGGCTGAACGTCCGCTCGGCGATGGAAGCGTCCCAGCACAACCGTCGCACGTTCCACTCTGTACCGCGTTCACAAAATCTACACGCAGCAGAGGGCGACCACTCACCAGCTCGACCTGTGGTAACATCTCCCTCCTCGCCCCCATCCGCCACTGAATGAGCATTATATGTGTTACACGCTAGAGTGGCGTTCATAGGGAGAGCTGTCTCGTGCAGTAAGTGAGTTGCTAAGATCATACAAGCCCACCTCAATCTGGATTAGCTTTAATATCCTACAGGCTGTGAGCTCCAGCTATGTGGTTCATCACTGTGCGTTCAGAAGGCCTTCCTACCAAACCTTATCATAATGAACCTAATAGTATATGACCTTGCGGACTAGATGGTGTCCAAGTGAGACTAATTTCGTGCCCCACAGTCCCGCAGTCATTGAGCATTGTCTGAGCCGTAGAGAATTCGAGGACGAGAGGAAGACGTCCATGCAAGCTGATTCAGCTCGTGGTGGACTGCGACCAACGATGGCTCGTACAGTATGTAGCACACGCCTCGGCACAGAACTGACCAAATGCGTATACATGTCAAGGACTGCCTCGCACCGCAATCTTATACATCATCTGGCATGACTTGCTGATAATTGGCTTCCCTGAATCGCTGGCAGTGCCTGCGTGTGCTATACTGGACTGAAGGCATATCCACGTCTTCATCCTTCTCTGAAAGCCCAGTGCTAGATCTGCGGAGAGGAAATCCACGACATCTATAAGGCGTTGAAGTTATGATGCCAGATGTCAAAGGAGAGCCAGTTGGAGTTCAGCATTGTGGTCAATCTGGCGTCCAACGAGTTGCGTGTGTTGCTGACAAGACGTATCAGTGCCAGTGGAAGAGTATGGAGGAAATGGGTCTGCATGAAGAGATAACTGCATCTGCCAAGATGGAGACTGGGCAAAGACGATACGGAAAGCTTGTGCAGGGACAGGCAGCGCGCGACCCACCGTTTCCTTTCTTGGCAGTTGCGCTCCTCCTTAGCTCCTCCAACTGCATCGTCCACACACCTTCTCTCTCTACATACCTGAGTCCTCGTCGTCCTCGTCGTCCAATAACATGCCTTTGCGCGTACACTTGTGGATCGTCTTTGAATCGACTGCCAGCAATGTTCTCCACTGCAATAGATAGAGTGCGTGTGGGTTGTGGAGCACGTCTCCTTGTCTGCGCCGTTACTAATCTGCAAACTGATGAGGTGGGCAAGAAGAGTCTCGTTTGCGACGATGGCATTGATTTTCAAGCGGGCAAAGGAGGGAGAGAAAGAGGTCAATTTCAGAGTGGCCGATCACGATGCTGAACACCAACATCGAGGCTGGCACAAACGTCGAGGAGGTGGTGCCGAATATCACATGGCCATAAGAATAAGACGTTATGTGGAAAACAGGACGAGGGGCCACATGAGTTTCTTGAGTTCAGCGAAGACGGAAATTTCAGCCACGCCGGCAATGATGACAGGGACTTTGATTGCCTCGGGGAGGGATATGCTAGTGGCAGAGCTGGCCAAACACAATGCTGAGGAGGTCGTGCTATGTGGGCTTTCCGCAACAAGATGGTCTCGTAGCAGTGTAGTATGTGGGCAAATGGATGTGCGTTCGTGGCAGTCAGGGCATGGGGGCGACGTGTAAGACAAGAACAGGAAAAAATGACGAACCGGGAGGCGGAGACAACAAGGGAAAGTGTATGAGAGATGAGACCAGAAAACATACTACATAACATGGGAGGACATCAAAATGGGAGCATTGTAGTCCAACATGTGCATGAGAAAGGGATAGATAAGGTAAGTGATATCATAATCGTACAGGTGAGATGTCGGCAAGAGGCTCGTCCAACACAGACACAAGTGCATGCACATACGCGTTCATGGAGCTCGTCTTTGCATTCGGAATTTTGAGGCCTGTGGAGACGATGTATCCAGGAGGATACTGGAGGCCGTGAAGCTTAAACCGACCTCAAGATGCAGACAGGTGAAAGAGTAGTAGCGAGAAAGGCGTACCGGTAAAAAAGGAGCCTGTAATCATGGGGCATGCGACGGGATGTGCTGGTATTGGCAATGGCAACCAAATACAGCCTACCAAACCTGAGACCGAAGGGTGTCAATATTGACGGTTACAGATGTCCTAGATAAGTGCAAGAATCATTTGATGTGAAAATTGAAATGTAGGAAAAACCAGTGACAGGGACGGCCACTTACAGGAGGCGACCACTGGCATGGAGGGCTGGAAGCTTTGATGCGAGCAGTGTTCCCAAAGAACCTTCGGGTATGACGTCCATCGCCTCTTTGACAGTCTCGAGCCCGACATAACGAAGGAGAAAGGTGACTTTCCCGAGGGTAGGGAACTGCTTGCCAGAAAGGATGCGGTCCATCTGTACGAAACAGTCATTGTCGACGCTATTCAATGTATCCTGGATGGAGACAGGTCTCTCCAAATAATGTAGCCACAATCTAATGACGACCTCAACTAGCTTTGGTAGAGATGCGCGAGACAAGACACTGGCTGCCGTGGCGATGTCTTCGAGATTGCAGGCCAACGACAGAACACCCAAGTTGACGGCGGCAGTGAGATTGACTGAAGGGACTGAGGGAATATCGTCAAGGGTCACTAGTCACCGATTGACGTCACACGGACCACGTACCTCTGCGAAGCAGCCAAACCTCGAGGGATGAGAGCGACTCGGCGGACACAGCGAGCAGGTCCGAATGCTTCTCCAAGTCGCTTCCATAGCAGGAGAGATGCCGAAGATGCGTACCGGCCGATACGAGGACGTCAAATACATCATCGCTATCATTCAGATCGGCAGCATCCAGTCGAAGGGAGCCCGGCACTCGCACCGCACCTGCGACATGGCAGCCATTCTTGAACTGCACACTATGGCATGCGAGGGAGGAGAGGCGGGGGAGCGCACGCACAAGCCGCCCAAACACAACCGCAGACGGGAAGTTCACATCGAAGAGTTCGAGCTTGGTGACCGACCCAAATGTGAGAGTGATATGGAGGAAGATCTGTGCGTGCAGTTGCCCAGTATTCCATGTGCAATACCCGAATCTCAGAAGTTCGACTCGGGGGAGCTTTTGCACCATGCGCACAGCAAATGACCCAAAAAGACCAATTGACTCATATTCCAATTCGAACAGGACTCCTTTGGTGTTACGGCATCGGTCGGGGTGCTCTTCCAGGGTACCTATCAGGCGATGAATCTGCTTCTTGTCCATGCGTCGCACATAAAGTGTCTCATGACTTCGAAAGCGACATCGGGCGTACCATCCACGACACACTTGGCCGAGTTGTTGCATGTAGTAGTTGTCCTCGTCATCATCCGCGATGAAATCGATTATCCACTCCCACAATTCTGTCGGAAGTCGGCTCGAAACCACGAGGCAAATATCACATAGTTGGCTTAATGTCCGCTCGGCGATGGAAGCGTCCCAGCACGACCGTAGCACGTTCCACTCTGTACTGCATTAAAATCTGCACGCAGCAGAGGAGGGCTACTCACCTGCTCCAACTGTAGCAACATCCTCCACTTCGTCCCTGTCTGTCACGGAATGGGCATCCTGTGGGCTATACGTCAGAACGACGTCCATAGGGAGAGTTGCCTTGTGTAGTGATAGGTGGGTGGGTGAGATACACAGTCTGACCTCCTCGACCTGGATTGGCTATTATGTGAGCGTCAGCTATATGGTTCAACAGCATGCGCTCAAAAAACCTTCCTGTCAAACCTTATCATATTGAACCTGGCGGCACATGACCTTGAGTGCATCTGAACATGCAAAAGGCTGGACGGGCCGTAAGTAAAACCAAAACCATGCATGCATTATAATCCCGCCATCACTATGCATTTTCTCAACCATGCAAAGTTGGAGGACGAGGGGGAGAGATCCATGCAGCTCGTGATGGACGCTTTGCACACATTCGGCTGTATGTGTCTATTCCCATGCGTATCAAGCACGACCTGGCGCCGGCTGCTCCACCGCAGCGCGAACCCATGCACAGCTCGAAGGAACGATCAGGGCGTCTGTATGCAATATGTAGGTACAGGAGTACGGAATACACACCTCTCCGTGTAAACACCTCGCAGTCTTGCGGAGAAAGATGAAAATACAACCATATCTTCGCGTACCAGAATCATGAAACTCTAGACGGGTGTGCCTCACTATACACGAGAAAGCGGGACAATAATCGTCCTGTGATACTCGAGCGTCGCACACCTTTGGAGGTTGGTCGTTGGTTAGAGCTCCACGTAATGCGATTAATCGCACGTCCGACGTCTTGGGCGTGTGTCCGCTGAGAGTGCTCACTGTGAGCACCGGTGCCAGTAGAGAGTGTGGGCCATCGGGAATACAGGGCTTTGCAAAGAAACCGCCATTTGCGAAGGGAGACGCGCCTTGCGCGGCCAGAAAGGACCAGAAGGCGCTTGACGACGGTGGCTTCCGAATGTCACGCGTCGTCTCGTCTCTCATTTCGCGCCAATTCCGCGCTCTCCGCCTGGCTGTCCTTGACTTCTGTACACGTCTGTCTCCTCATATAACTACCTTTCTCGTGCACTCGTCGCACAACGACAAGCCTTTTCGCCCCTCCTACGTTCCCCTAGACCAATCCAGATGGCTATGTTTTCCTCTGCGCCTTCTGTCGCGCGCGTGTCATTATTCCGGCTTGAACGCATCACCTGGAAGATAAACTTGTGTGACTTAAGATGCTGGTTCTTACGGCAAGTAGGGGCTGGAGGTGGCATGCATAGTCACATTGCATGATTACCCCGCAACGCTTTCAAGGCAAGTTTGGCGAGTATTTGGTATTATATAACGGCAGCTTTTTATGCTCAGATGACCATGGGCATGAAGGCTCACAACTGCGCATCGATCACTCTGGCCAAATGATCACGCATGTGTGGATTTTCGTTAACCTGTGGCTCGTCCTACCAGGCTACATCACATCTGGCGTCGATATCAACGACGCGATCAAGGATCGGACTAAGTCTTTCATCGACACGCTCATGATGGCCTGCAAAAACATCATGGAAATCCTGCTGCGTATTTCGCTCGTCGAAAAAAAAAACCTGACCTGGATTTAAGTACCGCTTCGAGGGAAGTCATGATAAACTACGAAGACATGGGCAACGAGGTAGAGGTACGTGTAGCGACGATTTAAACTGCTTCCTTGATTCTAATGTTAGAAACAGGCAGAACCAGAACTTACGTTCCAGATGTTGCGAACTGTGAACGAGATCTTCATGCGCCGATTACCACATATAGGCAAATATACTGATATGAGCTCGGATGACCTATGGGGTATATGCGCCGTGAATATTCTATGTTGTTGTAAGATTTACTGCTTATGTGCCGTCACAGAATTTACCGTACAAAGGCACAAGACGTGGATGGCAATTGCAAAGGCTATATCCGAACGAGATCTTATAGAACGTTGTTTGTAAATATGGCAGGCTATTGAGGACGCCGCGAGAAAGATTGCTCATCTTTGCGCATGATGCTACTTGGAGATCATTGGATGGAAACCTCAGCCGGGTCGCGGAAGTGGCTATGTGAGTGCAATCTACTGCCTAGAGCACATCGCAACTAATAGCTAGATCATCAACACATAGTTTGATGTGAGATTATATGGTGTAACATTGGACGTTCCCCCATTTCTCCATGTACTCTATCTCTGGTAAGCTATTTTGCAAACAGACTTACTGGTACGCGGAAATCACGAGCACGACGAAATCCGAAAAATTCGCTCCGCTGGACGCTCGGCGACGGTTCGAGGCCCTCAGACTCGGGTGGAACAATAAAATTTTGAATGTGGTAATACCCACCTTGACTCGGTCGTGCCGCACAGAACCATCGCTCGGCTATCTTCTTGCAGCCTCGCGGGGATTGCCTTTTCAAGAGAGCATATTCTCATCCAACGTACAATGCTTTGATCTAAGGCCTTGTACTGTGTTGCTCTCCTCGGGGAATACAGCATCTACAGTGACTACTTCCATTATGCGGATGGAGCATTGTTGGTGCACTATCATGCCTTGCTTTTCCCCTAATGTAAGTCGATTGCGCCATGCACAACTACAAGTTTAAAAAAAAGCATCCTCATCCGTGGCGATAGCAGATAGCGTGTATCTTCGCATGGTGGGAAATTATCTATCCTTGCATCGCGGCACTCACGGCATTATGCCCTCGGCTTGATTCCTTAATCATCGCATCGCTATCCATCTTCTTCCGCAAGTGTAGCCTCAATTCGGGACCATTGGACATCGATCTGATTATTTCCATCGGTGTTCTTACTTCGTATAGGACTGTGAAAGGTCATGAGTTGATTGTCCATGCAACAGATCGCAAATAGTGGTTCCATGGTTCTTTGACGTGAGCTCAAGCAGATAAATCACTAGTCGACCTTGGGAATCTCGGACACATAAGCATGTAGATGACGGTATGCTCTTCGTATCTTCTGACCGTCGTTCGTTCAATTCATATCTAGCTCGGTCAAAACCCGTCTATCTTGGCAGACGTGCCCACATTATTCGGCCTCTGTTTATGTTAGAAGACCTGAGTTCCGCATGGTTCGTTCGGCTTTGCGGATTGCAACTCATGTGTGTTTCTCTTGGCATGCACATAAAAGCGTCGAACATTAGACACCAGAATACCAACGAGTCTTCTTACTCGCCGTTGTCCCAAGAATGCTCTATAGACTTGTGCTCTTGTCACTAGCGGCTCAGTTCGTCCTAGGCAAGCCAGTTGAGCGCAGCCTGGAGGTGCACGAATCTCGTGCTACGGTTCCACCGGGGTTCACGCTCATCGGACCAGCATCTGCGCAGACTGTGCTCAATCTCCGTTTGGCACTAACCAGCAGCGATACAGATGGGCTCATCGAGACATTATACGACGTCAGTACTCCGTCCAGCGCAAATTATGGTCAGCACCTATCCAAGGAGGAGGTACGTATCAATGCCTATGCAGACCTTTGAATGAATATGGCACTGAATTTCTGTTATAGACAGAACAGTTCCTTGCGCCTACGCAGGAGTCACTAACGGCCGTCAATGACTGGCTTGCTGAGAACGACATTAACGCAACCACAATCAACTCTGCGGGAAATTGGCTTGCGATCTCGGTTCCCGTCAGCCAGGCCAATGATATGTTTGATGCGGACTTCTCGGTCTTCACTTATGGTAGCAGTGGACAACAGAGTATCCGTACGCTCTCTTACTCCATCCCTTCGAATCTCAAGGGCCACTTGGATCTCGTGCATCCGACTGTTACGTGCGTCTGAGGACAGACTCTTACCAGCTCATCCTGTTGATGTTGATGCTTTATAGGTTCACAGCTCCAGTACCGAAGCTGCCGGTCCAAATCAAGAAGTATAATATGACAATCGGACCGAGTGCACTAGCCGAGCCATCAGCTTGCGAAAATGGCTATGTCGATCCCGCATGTCTTCAGGCCTTGTACGGTATTCCCACAACTCCTGCAACTGAGTCTTCGAACTATCTTGTCGTCACTGGATACATCGAGCAATATCCCAGCCCTTCCGACCTTGAGGCAAGAAATTCATTTCTGGTTCTATACGACTGTACTGAATGAACGCATACAGCTATTTCTTGGAAATTTTCGTACAGACATATCGAGAAGTACCACGTACACTGTGGTGGAGTTTGACGGTGGGGAATATGACCCGAGTGATCCCGGCGACGAGGCGGTATGTGTTAGCGATCGTGATTCGTAAGGGCGAAATCACTTATGAGCGCACAGGACCTCGATACACAGTACACAGTGGGACTTGCTACGAACGTTCCCGTCACGTTTTTTTCTGTGGGTGAAGATACAACGGATGGCGTCTTTGGTTGGCTCGACACAGCAAATTATTTCCTGGACGAAACGAATCCTCCCTCCGTGATAACGACTAGTTACGGCTCAAATGAAGATGAGCTTTCCGTAAGTGTTGCAAAGTAGGTCACAAGTTCTTGACAATTGCTCCTTCCTCATCCATGCTGTCAGTAATTTATGCAATGCATATGCTGCTCTTGGCGCACGCGGTGTTTCTGTTTTGTTCTCTTCTGGAGATGGAGGAGTCTCGGGGTCTCAATCTGCATCGTGCACGGATTTCGTTCCCACATTCCCATCTGGCTGCCCTTAGTGCGTAGTTCTATGACCGTGGTATATTGTCATATTCATCTCTGTCACATTGCAGTCTCACCTCCGTCGGTGCAACTCAAGACTTCAGCCCAGAGACGGCAGCGTCCTTCTCGTCAGGCGGATTTTCTAACTACTTTAGCCGGCCCTCTTTCCAAAGCTCTGCGGTTGAGGCGTACCTCGAATATTTGGGAGATACAAACTCTGGGCTGTATAACGCTTCGGGACGCGCGTACCCAGATGTTTCCGCGCAGGGCGTCGACTTCATCATCGCATATGGAGGCGAATTTTACACGGTGGATGGAACAAGCTGCTCAAGCCCGACATTTGCTAGCATCATTTCCCTCGTTAATGACCGCCTCGTTGCCGCAGGCCAATCCACACTCGGGTGGCTCAATCCGTTCTTGTATTCTACAGGTCTTTCCGCACTCACGGATATTACATCGGGAGATAATCCCGGATGCGACACAAATGGTTTCGCTGCTACGACTGGCTGGGACCCGGTACGTGCTTTTGGGCCTCGAGCTATAATGAGACATCCTATCATACTTATTTCACCTTGGCAGGTCACAGGGCTGGGTACTCCCATCTTCGCTAATCTCTTGACAGCTGTGGGTCTCTGATAGAAATTTGACGTTTCTGAGTTTTGCTCTCTCGCGACTAGTTCTGTATTCTTGGGTGGTTATACGATTACTGCAGGTTTTCTTGGGTGTACGAGGCGGTCAGAAATTAATAGCTATTTTTACCTGCTGTGATTATGGGTTCCAAGACTCGAGACGACTTGCGACTCGTCGTTGAGAGTCCGAACATTTAGGATAAATCGTTGGGGCTGTTGATCGAATCATTCTGAATTGAGGTCCATTTCCTTACGGCGTTCTCAGAAAACCTTGCTATCTGTAGTAATTTCATTGCCAAGCGCAGCAAAAGTACTGACGCGATCCAAGGTTTTCCGACAGCGCTGTAGGGCCGTTTTCGACACGGCAATATACAGTAAATGTCACAACGGGTGAGTGGTTTGGATCTGAATTCCCTCATCCTCCTAGATCAAGTTCGGAGGCTGTAAGGGGTGAGTGTCTGCAGAAGCCGCCGCAAATGGTGGACGGCCTGCGCGCAGCACCCACACTGGCAAATGAAGAGACGGTGTGCGCAAAGGCCAACGTGCGAAAGGATGCCATCGTAGGCCTCAAAAAACTGGCGAGCGATGTGCTAGGACTCGGACGATGCGCACTTGGATGGCCGTTCCTTACCACACTGCAATGGTAACGCATCGTCTTGTCTCCCTTTGGCCTCGGCTTCTCCTTGGGTTCTGAGTCAACTTCGCTCGTATACCGCGTCTTTCTCCCCTTATATATGCATTATTCTGCTTGTCTTAGAATATCACACAATCGACTGGCGGTAACGTTTCTGCAGTATTCTATCATACCCGGCGGCATGTCCTAGTTCTAGCTGAACACACCCTCTGGAAATCTCGTCAAGATGGAGTAACTTGAACAATTATTGGCCATCATCCGAGGCGCGCAAGTGAGCTTCTAAATTCTGGTCGCACCCATCCTCTTTGCTGTACATACTACTAGTACATGAATCAATCATTTTTTCTCTTTCGGATCCCTTTTATTGTCCGCGAGCGCCTGGCCCTATGTAAACACAAAATACAGTACATGTGCTACCACATCTCGTACTATATCGAAACAGAGACGTTGGACGCGGCCTGGGTGGCAGGGCGCGCGTCTGGGCGAAAACTGTGGTGCGCGGAGTGGCCGAGAAGTTAGTCAGAATATAGACAGGAAGAGGGATCGGAGTTCCATGATACTGTATCGGTGCTGGTGCGGCGGATTCACAGAGTGTAACCCCGGCCATGAAAGGCAAGGGACGCAGTTCTAACCCCCCCGCTGGAGTGCATGACAGCTCCTACGCCGGTGTCACAGCTGGGGGGGAGCCGTTCAGTAGTCCTCCACTGTCCGTCGAAACTCCCCACATCCCTGGGTTTTCCCCCACGCGCATACAGCCCGCGTGAAGAAAAGGAAAGAGGACAAGAACAAGTAAGCGACAAAAGAATTGGGGGAGCGGCCAGTACTGTCAGGAAGCCCGTGGAGGAAGGGGAGGGTTTGGTCGTGCTCGTTGGTTGAGATCACCGAAGATGTTTCCGAAGCGTCCGATGGTCTAAATGTAACGCATGAGTGGTATAATTGCTGCGGGGTGGGATAGCAGGGTGCGGATGGAGCTCGCGCTCCGCCCAATGCTCCTCTGTCCCGCAGCTCGCTGGGCTCGGAAGGCCGGGCATTCACGCAGGTAATGTTGGACAGTCTCTGGTTGCTGGCGGCATTTGGGGCACTTGCTTGTGAATCAATCTTAGACACCAGGGTGCAGGTGATGAACCGCAACGACATCCGCCAACAGAGAGTGAAAACCACATCACATGCGATGGGGAATATGCGGAAGGTGAGCCGTCCGCACGAATCTAAGTACAGCTTCGTCCGGGGCAGCTATATTCTGTGCCTCGATGATGTCCAGGCCTGTATGTACGATACGCGCGGGTGGAGATTGGAGATGTGACGAGGTGCATAGAGTTAGGCTACGGAACCCAGATCCAGTCTACCAAAGTCGAGGACCAGGACCACAGACAATCACGGTTACAGAAGACCTAGGACAAGCACAAGGGTCATTTGATGTGAAATCGAAATGTAAGTATAATCAATGATGAGGTTGGCGACTTACAGGAGGCGACCACTCGCATGCAGTGCTGGAAGCCTTGACGAGAGCTGCGTGCGCCAGGAAGCTTCAGATATAACGTCCATCGCCTCGCTGGAATCCTCGGCAGAGCAACGAAGGAGAAGCGTGACTTTCCGGAGAGCAAGAAATTGATGGTCAGAGAGGACGTGGTCCATCCGTTGAAAGCAATCATCGTCGATACCATTCAATATATTCTCGACGGAAACAAGTGTTCCCTGAGGGAATGGCCGCGAGCTGATTGTGACCTCAACTAGCTTGGGCAAAGACGTGCGAGACAGGAAACCGGCTGCCTTGGCGATGTCTTTCAGTTCGCCATCAAACGCCAGGACACGCAAGTTGAAAGCGGGCGTGAGATTGAGTGGGGAGGCTGAGGGAACATCGTCAGCGGACACCGGACGACGTCACCTCCACCGCATACCTTCGTGAATGTCCCGAACCTCCAGAGACAAGAGCGATTCGGAGGACACAAAGAGTAGCATCAAATGCTTCCTCAGGTGGCGTCCATGGCAGATGAGATGCCGAAGGCGAACGCTGATCGACGTAAGGAAGTCAAACACGCCATCGCAGTCATCCAGATGGGCGACGTCGAGTCTAAGAGAGCCTGGCAATCGTACCGCACCCAAAACGTGGCAGTCCCTCTTGAATTCCACAAATCGGCAATCGAGAGAGGAGAGGCGGGGGAGAGCACTCAGGAGCCGCCAAAACACTACCGCAGACGGGAAGCTCACGTCGAAGAGTTCGAGCTTGGTTACCGACCCAAATGTGAGAGTGACATGGAGGAAGACTTGCGCGTGCAGTTGTCCAGCCTCCCATTGGCAATGCGAGAGTCTGAGAATATCGACTCGGGGCAGCTTTTGCACCATGCGCACAGCAAACGACCCAAAGTTGCCAAACTATTGGGGTGTAAAATCAAATAAGACAGCCTTAATGGCACGGCATTGCTCGGGGTGCTCGCCTAGTATGTTGATCATACGATACACCACCTTCCTGTCCACGTGCGACACGTCAAGGCTTTCATAACTGCGAAAGCGACATCGGGCATACCACCCACGACACACTTGGCCAAGTCGTCGCATGTGGTAGATGTGGTCGTCCGCAATGAAATCGATTATGTGTTCCCATAATTCTGTCGGAAGTTGGCTCGAAACCACGGGGCAGATGTCCCATAGTTGGCTAAACGTCCGCTCAGCAACGGAAGCGTCCCATTTTGTATTGCATTCAACAAACCTACACGCAGCAGAGGGGGGGTACTCACCTGCTCCAACTGTAGCAACATCCTCCACTTCGTACCTATCTGCTACGGAATGAGCATTTTGTGGGCTATACTTTACAGCGACGTCCATGGGGAGAGTTGCCTTGTCCAGTAAAGGGTGGGTAGATGAGATACATAGTTTGACCTCCTCGGTCTGGATTGGCTATTATAGCTGTATAGGCTGTGAGTCAGCTATGTGGTTCAACACCAAGCGTTCAGAAGGCTTTCCCATCGAACCTTATCGTGTTGAACCTAATAGCACATGACAGAAAGTGCATCCGAGCAGGAACAGGCCTAGACGGAGTGAAAGTGAGACCAGCTGATGCACCACAATTACGTCGCTATTGAACATTTTTTGAGCCATAGAGAACTCGAAGACGACGGAGAGAGGTCCATACAGCTCACAGGGGACCGTGGCTGCGGCTAACGATGGTACGTATGTACCACATCCCTCAGCGCATATCCGGCCGATTGTGTATTTGCGTATCAAGGATGGCCTGGCGCCTGTCCCACCGCGGCGCGAACCTATACACCATCCGAGTCTAGTACAACGCCTCCTGAGAATCAAATCCTCTGCATCATAATTTTAAAAAAGCATTGAGGGTGTCTCCTTTGCTACGCCGGAAAAGGAGTACGGCCTCTTTATGGAACCGCCTTGCGAACCTGAGGACAAATCAACACGTGGTGCTCTCCTCCCGCACCAGAATCGTGACATGCTGGCTTCAATAGATGAGATTCCCTCTCCAGGCTTTATCTAGATTCTCTCGTCATGCCGACAGTGCAAATTGAGCGAGAGCCATATCGCGGCGCACACAGAGTGCAAATGAGCACAGTGGAGCGGTGTTGAAGATGAGCATGCAGGGTGGACGACGAACTGGTTGTATGCTGCACCGCTGCGCTGAGGTGAGGCCCAGCATCTTCGTGTGGTGGCCGAGAATTGCACGCCTTAAACCATGGGTCCGCGTCAGTAGACCCTTGACTGGACTGTGAAGAAGAGTAGAGCGAGCACACATCCTTCGTTCAGTTCGCCGACCGTCCAACGTTGTACAAATGCGAAAAATCTGCACGATGTTGGATCCCTAGCCGCATGGCACAGCCAACGAGGTCTTCCTGGATTTAACAGTCAGCAAATATGCGATGAACGCAAGGACTGTATGTGTAGGCGTCCGGGCCCAGGATCAATACACTACGTGAGCTAGCTTACATCAATCACCATAGCGGTATGCTCTCCAAGCATATCCTGTACCGCGACATTGACCCGGTGGCTGCTGTAGTAATAGCAGACAAGCACTCACCACCTTGCATATCCTTACCACCTCCAACGGACGGTCCATGTAGATCACGCCTGCCACAATTTCCCTCAAGGCCAAAGTCGTGAGATTGGCGAGTCCAAGGCCCAACTGCAGAAAGCGAAACTATGAGAGCTAAGAAAGCGTCCGAACCAGAATCCTAGGCGTCAGTCGGAAGATGGTGATTACTGTACTCCACGACCGACGACTTGCGCGTGTTTCTGCTGAGCGATTTTTCACAGCACACACCGGTGCCATGAAAGAATATCAGTGAAACGGCGCGGTGCTGTGAGGTCCCCATCCGCCAAGGAAGAGACAGAGCGTGCTATGGCGAGGAGGCGCAGATTTCGGAGACCTGTTACGGTCGCGCGTCTGTCGTGAACGCGCCGTCTCCGGCGTCTCCTCGTTCTGCTCTCAGTACGGCCTCTGGTTCAGGCTCTCCTATACACCCTGTCTGTCTTCTCGCATATCTGCCTTTTCCATGTCCTCATCGCTCACCTTTTCACGTCCCCTCTGCTCCCGTAGACCGATCTAGAACCGACTGCTGGCGATATTCTCCGCTACAGCTCTTTCTGTCGCGCCCGTGGTCTTGAATGCACTGCCTCGGGATAGACCCGTACGGCTCACGACGTAGTCCTCATTGCAAGTAGAGGTTGAATGTGTGCTAGATAGTCAACTAGCCACAGCCAACGATTGCACCACGCCATCCGAGATCAAGTTCTGAGGCTGTAAGCGACGAACTGATGAAGTCCTGCAAGTGCAGAAGTCATCGCGAATGGTGAACGAACTGTTGGGCTAGGATACTGGACAGTAAGTTCCCATGGATAGACAGAAGTATAGCCAAGTCATGCGTCTTGAAGCCAAGATACATTGTGGCGTGCACATCATGGGCAGCACACTTGCCGCCAATTGGTCATTCTCTCTGCTGTGCGCATCTATGTAGGAGGGGAGTGCTGACTCGAAGAGCTTTCAGCAGCGGCGCATTATGAATAGTACGCCTAGAACAGGTATCTGTCACTTCATGCATGAGACCCAGTGAACGAGGGGGACGGAAGTAGGTGTGAACATTGAGTACTTGAGCGGTTCCTCCAAGGGATAGGTAGACAGCCGGAGCTACTCACGGCGATCTGGTGAGCGAGGTCTGACATGCGTGGGGCACGTCTTTGGGATTCCGGAGGTGTGCAAACTAGATTGGGGATAGTCTTCAACTTGACGCGGTACCCATCGAGCCTGCGAGGCGGGATGGGTCACATTACTCTCGAGCTTCAGTCTATTCGTGAACGACAATGCGATGAGAAGTGAGTCACGAGTCATTGTATTTAAAAAATTACTTGTACCTCAGCTCTCAGCTACAGACATCCATATCGGCCATATAGTCACACAATGAAAGTCGGTGTGCTTGCAGAAAACAATTGCTCTGCTGGTGATGCATTCGTCTTGAATAATCTACCATGATGAGGGTGTACACAGAGGGCACATTTACGGTAGGGGCTCTGCAGGTGAGGGATGCGTGTCGCGCCAGCAAGGGCAGAAACAACGAGGAAGAAGAGCGAGATTTATAGGATAAAGGAAGAGAGTCAAGAAGGGCGAGGTGGGACAGCCTGACCCTGAGAGACCAAGAAGTGAATGAGAGACAACATCGAGGGCATATGTCAGACTGGAGACGGGAGGTAATAATCACATAGCTTGAGATGTGGAACTCGACCTGTACTCAAAATAGAACGAGACTGTCTTGGTGGCACCGCATGACCCCGGGTATTCATGCAGTGTATTGATCAGGCTATACGCCTGCTTCTTGCCCGTGTGCCCCAAATAAAGTTTTTGAGGACGATGGACGCAACATCGGGCACGCCATCCAAGACACACTCTACTGCAGTGATCGTATATGGTAATCGAAGCTGAAGTCGGTTGTATCCGCGATAAATGTGTGGTCCCATAATTTTGGCGGAAGTCAGTTTGCAACCACGAGGAAAATGTCGATGAGTTGCATGGGCGTCCGCTTGGCGATGGAAACATCCTAGCACGACGGTCGCACGTTTCCGTCTGCTGCATTTAACTAATGTACATACAGCAGAGTGCGACCATTCATCAGCTTGAGCTGTAGTAACGTCACTCCTCTCTTCCTAATCCGCCACGGTGGCATCTTGTGGGCTACATGCCAGAGCGACATTCATAGAGATAATTTTCCATGCGCAGTAGTAGGTGGATGGTTGACATATACAGGCTCCCTCTTCGACTTCAATGTGTTAGCTAATATGGCTGTTCCCATAGGCTTTGAGCGTCAACTATGTAATTCAACACCATACGTTCGGAAGGTGTTCCCAACGAACCTTATCGTATTGATCCTAATACCACATGACAGAAAATGCGCTGAGAAAGCACTGGGATGGGGTGGGCGTAAGTGAGACCAGAGCCATGCACCAAAATCCCGCCATCATTCTGTATTGTCTGAACTACACAGAGTTCGAGGACGAGGGTAAGAGATCCATCGTCGACTGCAATCAGCGATGGTACATACGTAGGACACCCTTCAGCACACATCCGGCTGTATGTGTTTATCTCCACACGTATCAACCACGGCGCGAATCCTGCTGACATGTTCACCACAGCTTGAAAGGGCGATAGGGCGTCTGTATGTGACATGTATGCAGAGGAGCATGGAATATACACCTCTCCGTGTAAACGCCTCGAATTCCTGTGGAGAAAATGAAAATACAAACGTGTCTTCTCGAACCGGAATCATGAAGTTCTGGCCAGGTGTGCCTCACTATGCACGAAAAGGGATAATGATCGTCCTGTGATACTTGAGCGTTGCACACCTACACGCGTTTATCAGAGTCAGAGCAGCTTGCCGACAGGAAACTTCTGAAAAATGAGGCAAGTATGTATCTTCCCTGCGGTCGGCTGACTGCTGGGAGGGGCGTTGCAAACACACGAAAGCTTGACGCGATGTTGTTCAGCGCTCCTGACCACCTGGTACACCTGAACAAGTAGTCCTTGAATGTGGTGAGCAACATATCTGCTATTTTTGTGAACGTTGGAGAGGACTGTAAACGTATCATTCAACATCTATATCTTCATGCAGGGCTCAGATATGGAAACAGAGACGGACATTCTCACGCCACACAACTCATAGCAGAACACATGCGTGACGAACGCGTGATTGACAGATCGCCGTGCTACACTCGCGATCATCTCTGCCACGCAATGCGACTAGTACTGTCTCCTGGTTGTTCACTTAACAGTCAGAACTGCCGCTGAATCCAATTCCATATGTAGATATTTGTCACTATGCTCATCCAATCCCACTCACAGGGCCTCTGATTAATCCCGCGCTGTCTTCTCCGGCTGATACCCATAGTGTGCGCATCTGACAATATTTGATATACCCATGCTGCTTGGGGACGCTCATCAGTAATGAGACCGAGAGGGTCCACTCGAGGCTTAAAACTGGCTGAGACTGGCCAAGGGCCCGTTTACACCCTTGACCTTCACAACCATGCCCGACCAAATGGATACTAATGTGTTAGTCCGTCTTATGAGTCGTCGTTATCTCACTGACAACCCTGTTTCTTCAATCTACAGCTATATGGCTCTGTCTATAGGAGGTGTCTCTTCTTTTTATCTTTATATCATCTCGGCACTCACAGTGAACTTTAAGCCCTGGCGCTGTTTGAATATTGCATTACGTTCGACATGGAGGTTTGCTGCTTCTGGAAAAGAAAGCTCTCAATGGTCACAGTCCTCTTTTTCCTGAATCGCTATATTTGTTTGATAAATCGGGTCATTGTCCTCGTGGCGTTGCTCCCCTGGCAAGATGTATCAGTGAGTGGGACTTCGTCACTTTCTTAGACACTGCTTTATTGGAGATGCGTCATCAGAGGTGGCATTTACTCAGTGCACATCCGTCCATCTGATGCTCATGAAAAATAGCTGCTCAATCATTTTCTGGTTCGAAGGTATTTTTTCGTTCTTAGGCCTCATCGCTGCCGCTGGTTCGTGTTTTTAAGATCATCTGGGGTTCATTTCGTTGATTAGGTATTGTCCTATCATACCAGTAATATTGACGATCAGGACGTTCGCGCTATGGGACCGAAATTTCTGGTTATCCGCCTTGGTATTGTTGTTTAGTTTGGTATTGCCTGCCACAAGCTTGGTGCGTCTTCAATCTGAATACAGCCATTTTCTTTCTTATGCGGAGCGCATGCAGTATTTGCTATCAAAAGCTAGAGTAACAGACTATGTCAACACCGACGTGGGTTCTTGTGGCTATTCATTTCCATCGTAAGTATTTTTGTATACCAACACTTCTCAGTTTTATGAGTGACAACGTAACTTACAGTTCAAGTAAGTGGCTCGCCAACATAGAATTGTTGCTTCAATGATAGGATGGACGTCTGGCTCTGACTAGGTATGATTTGGATACTTTACGCTTCTCGTGGGACCAGCATGGCGGCACAAATTCTAGTCATGATTACGACCTGGATGAAAACTTATAGTGCTCTTTGCAACTTGAAACGACTTCGGGGTGGGACAGGCCTTACGGGACCTATTCTCCGGGACGGTACGCCTATGTTCTGCTGATGTAAGTACATATTTAAAGTGGGTGCTTGTAACAGGATTTCTATGTTTCTTGTGAGTTTTCTTGCCACAAGAGATCACAATGGCTTAGCGGATTTGACTTAGCAATGTGTTCATGTTTAACGTGATGACACTGATCGGCGATATGGTGAGTCCCATAATGTACATATTCGTTGAACGCTACCTTAGCGCGAGGCTTGACGTACTCCCTCAGGCATACGGTCTCACTACAAATCTCGCAGATCTTGCGGCGTAAGTGGATAATGAATCAATATAGGGCCTGTCTGATATATTGTCTGTCGGCAGGCTGGAGGCGATCCTTTTGTCTCGATTCATGCTCGACCTTCGCACCGCCGCTTCCAAACCCATTTCTGGGATCTCTATTCAAACTTCAATTACATTGAATGTGGTTGAAGAGATGGGCGCCCATTTTGACGACGCATATTTTGGCAGCATGGAGTAGAAAAAAGGCGTGAGTCACTTTCGGTAATCTGTTCCCGTCATTCTAACGCGCAGATCGACAGCCAATACAATGTACATAATGGGCTTTACTATACCTTACAAATATGAACCATAATCATAATTGTATCTCATAAGCTATACCCCTCAACGTTGACTTCTACTTTGACCTGTAGATCTTGCGAGACCCGTGACTGCCCTCTTTCTCATTCCCTCTTCGTCTAATCCAGCTTTGCCGAGAATCCTCTCAATCTCCTTGAGGATTGGATTATACCCGGCTATATCGAAAACGGGACTGATGACGTTTGCACTTCAGTAACACTTAATGTATCTCTCAGCCTTGGCGAATTAATCTCGTCGAAGTTCGTTGCCGAGATTATCGCTGTTTCTGTGGGCCTTACCGGTCCAATATTCACCATTAAAATTAGCATGGTATGAGTTCCAGATTCTGAAGTGGTAGCACAGAAGCGTATGTGAACGCGCATAGAGCATTGCTAATATCTCTCCGGGAAGAGGCGTACTGATGATATCATCCGCAGACCGCGTGGCGTCTTTAGCCACCCCCATGAATGCCGCAGCTTGCAGGTGAAGCGCATCCTGCGGTTCCATTGCTGTGAGCATGATGAGTGACGATTTAAATTAGCGCACATTCGTCTCAAGTGTGCCTTGCCCAACAACCTCTGCCTCTACGTTTTGATCTGCATCCCCTGCGGGTGCGGGGGAATTAGAAGTTCAAGCTACAGCGTCAGGATCATTTCCTTCGGATTCATCCTCGCCCCCTGCGCCGTTATCATTGCTGCTCTTCAAGCAGGTGTGCATACACAGCTTGTCAAGCTACAAGGAGTGAAAATCGTCGAGCGTATATTCTCGGGATCCTCGTTCAAATATACCTCCGTAGCTACCAAGGACCCATTATTAGCATTACCGCTGTAAGACCGCATGCGCAAGCATACACATAAAGTGTGTTGCGCAGGACACATAGCATGGCATTGTAGCGTGGCGTGGGTCTACTTATATCAGGGTCGTAGGGATCACTCTCAGGAGGGTTGCCTGATCTCTTTTGGGCACGAGCTTTCATTGTAATCTGATTTTATGATAGATCTCTAATATGTCGTATGCGAGAGGAAATAACTCACCTCATCGCCACTTTTTCTCTGGATCACTTTCGTCATCTTCCTTGTCACTCGACGGCGCTCGCACCGGAGCAGGCACAGACTTTTGCTTATTTGCACCGGTGGTTTTCTTCTTAGGTCGCTTTAGGAGCATAGATATCCCGCGCCAATTCCCGCCAATCTGGTATCCATACCTAGACCCAGACATCTTCAGCCGCAGCAAAACCGGCACCGTGAGTATCATGCTTACAGGTCATTATGAAGAAAGCTTTCCTCACTCGTGTCTTCGCCCGTGACGCCTCCGAACAGTACACCTATTTCCTTATCGTCCACAGAGTCATTGTACACACAGATCGCAACGAAAGTGCATATGCTGTCGATGGCCTCTTGAAGTGTAAGAGGTTCGGCTGGCGTCTTACCATCTTCGGTCTCGTTGACTGTTATTCTATATCGTCAGATGGTATGAGCAACTACCAGGGCAGTGGCAGATGTCTGTCTGGGGTCCTGGGCCGGGCGGCGCTGCAGATAGAGTGCGCGTGGGTGAGGTAAGAATACGTCTCTGTGTTACACCGTCATTGATTCGCAAATGGACGAGTAGGTAGCGAGGCGAGAGGACGAGCCAGTGCTCTGCTCAACATATCCTCAAGGCCTCGTCACCCACCTCTCTTTTATTCGCTGCTAGCTCTGTGCTCTAGACCAGCGATGCTCCTACTCTGAGTTTCCTGCGGCTGGGGCTGCGCACATTGCTGCACTCGCTACACTCTGGCCACCCAGCAGCATTCCTGCAGAATGCCTCTTCCGGCCACCTCTCCGCTCCATACACACTGGAAGGCCTGTAGCGACGCCTCCGAGCGTCTCGTGTCCATGCCTGATGTGCGAGGGTGGACGAGGGCGATAGACAAACAGACGGTGTCACCGGCGAGCGAGGACGTGCATAGGACGTGTCGCAGACATCTAGGGGGTGCTCAATGTATACCAGTCAGTCAAACATAGACAGGTCCGTCTACCTACAATTTGGGGAGAACCTCCAGATCAACGTCATCCGCGGGGCAAGTGCACAACAGCCGAGAACGACCTGCTCCAACTCACGCTCAAGATGTCACTCGTAGGCTTTCCCCCACATACTTTACCTTGTGTTCATCCACGACATCGTTGAAGCACCACGGACGCCAAGCTCCTAGCGAGCTGAGAATGTTAGCTTGCGACGTCGAAGACAGTTGTGCGGTCTGGGCACGACCTCGTCGAGAGCATCGAAACGCATGTACCGGGAGCACGAGTGATGGGAATACCAGCTGGGGCAGTTATATTGAGTTTTAAATTAGACGCAGCTACAACGCAACAATTTGTGCCTAGTCTACACCGAGGAAGCTGCGCCGTCCACGGACACCAGCAACCTCTACCGTCATCGCAACACATGCAGCGATGAGATTCGTCATTGTACGAGACACCTGGAGGTGATGCTGGGAATGACCTTGCAGTTTGCGTCGAGTGAGAAGAGGGTGGGGTCGCTCTTCGTGGGCTGAAGCCAGTCTGGCTGTACGGTCGGGTGGTGTGCCTACGTACGCGCGTGTGCGAGGAGCTCGTCTCTGCATTGGGAATTCCGAGGCCTATGGACACGGTGTATACTGCAGGCCGCGAGTCTCTAAATGACGGCGTGTGGTAGAAACGTGTGCCAGTAAGGAAGGAGCCGGGAGTTGTGGGGGATGTGGGGATGTGATGGGTTGTACAGGCATGGGTTGTGGGGATCAGATGTAACCTACCAAACTCGAGACACAGGGACTTCGACCCTTACAGGAGTCCTAGAATAAGGGCAACAGTCATTTGGTGTGAAACAGAAATGTATATATAGCGATGGGAAAGACGACTTACAGAAGGCGACCACTGGCATGGAGGGCTGGAAGCTTTGACGAGAGCAGGGTGCACCAGGAGCCTTCGGATATGATGCTCACCGCGCCGGCGTAATGAATTTCACAACGAAGGAGCAAGGTGACTTTGAAAAGAGCAGGAAATTGACGGCCGGAGAGTATGCGGTCCATCCGTGCAAAAGAGTCATTATCGATGCCATTCAATGTATCCTGGACAGAGACAAGTGTTGCCCAAAGATTTGGCCGCGACTCAATGGTGACCTCTACTAGCTTTGGTAAAGACGCGCCAGACAGGACACAGGCTTCCTTGGCGATGTTTTTGAGATGTCCGGCCAACGATAGGATACGCAAGTTGACTGCAGGTGTCAGATCGATTGAAGTGGCTAAGGGAACTCATCGTGAGCAGACACCGGATGACGTCACCTCCGCCACGTACCTCTGCGAAGCAGCCTGACATCGAGGGACAAGAGCGACTCGGCGGACACCGCGAGCAAGTCCGGCAGCTTCGCCAGGTCGTGTCCATAGCAGGAGAGATGGCCAACTTGCGCGCCGATCGACACTAGGAAGTCAAACACGTCATCGCTGCCATTCAGACTAGCAGCGTCGAGTCGGAGGGAGCCTGGCACTCGCACCGCATCCACAACATGGCAGCCCTTCTGAAATCGCACAATCTGGCATTCGAGGGTAGAGAGCCGGGGGAGAGCACGCACAAGTCGCCCAAATACCACCGCAGACGGAAAGGTCACGTTGAAGAGTTCAAGCTTGGTCACCGACCCAAATGTGAGAGTGAGATGGAGGAAGACTTGCGCGTGCAGTCGCCCGCTCTCCCATTTGCAATGCGAGAGTCTGAGAAATTTGACTCGAGGCAGCGTTTGCATCGTGCGCACAGCAAACGACCCAAGGAGGCCAATCGATTGGGGTGCAAATTCAAATAAGACTGTCTTGACGACACGGGATCGCTCGGGGTGCTCGCCCAGTGTACGGATCAGGCGATACACCTCCTTCTTCTCTGTGCACCGCATGCTAAGGATCTCATGACTACGAAAGCGACATCGGGCATGCCACCCACGACACACTTGGCCAAGTCGTCCCATGTCGTCCAATCCGTCCTCCGCGATGAAATCAATTATGAGCTCCCACAATTCTGTCGGAAGTCGGCTCGAAACCACGGGGCAGATGTCGCATAGTTGGCTAACCGTCCGCTCGGCGATGGAAGTGTCCCAGCACGACGATCGCACGTTCCACTCTGTACTGCATTCAGCAAGCCTACACGCAGCAGAGGAAGGCTACTCACCTGCTCCGTGAACTGTAGCAACATCCCCACCTTCTTCCCTGTCTGCCGCGGAATATGCATCTTGTGGACTACACGCTAAGGCGACGTTCATAGGGAGAGCTAGCTTGTGCGGTAGTAGGTGGGTGAATAAGATATACAAGCCCACCTCTTCGATCTGGATCAGCTACTATCCCCTGGCAATGCACCATTGTCTGGACCATACAGAGCTCGAGGATCACGGGGAGAGATCCATACAGCTCGTGATGGACTACAATCAATGATGCTACGTGCATAGCACACGGCATCAGCACAGATCTAGCCGAATGTGTCTATTCCCATACGTATCAAGCACGGCCTAGCGCCGCCTGCTCCAGCGCGGTGCGTCCCTATTCATCCTCGGGTGCAATTCATCGTGGCAATCAATTCATCTGGCTCACAGCTTGAAGGATACTTGTGGCGTCTGCTTCGCTATGCCAGCACAGGAGCGCGGACTACCTCACCACGGAAATGCCTTGTGAACCTGGAGACAAATCAGCACACGGACCCGGCTATCGCGATTTATGGAAGTGTGTCATTGAAACGGCGCTGTGCGAAGAGGACCCCATCTGCCAAAGGAGAGACACCATTCAAAGGCGAGGTGGCGCAGATCTCCGAGACTTTGTGCGACCAGAAGACGCTGGGCCGTTGGCTGCCGCGCGTCTGCCTACCACCTTTGCCAATCTATCCTCCTCCTTCTCTCTGTCCCCTCTCATTCTGCTCTCCCAGTCCGACATCCTAGTTCAGACCATTGTATATACCCTGTCCGTCTTCTCATATATCTGCCTTTCCTGTGTTCCTATCGCTCACGTTTTCGCGTCCCCTTTGTTCGACCGGAGACAGGAGGTAGAATGCACCAACGTCCGCAGGAGATAAGGATAACATAGCTTGAAGTGGAGAAGTGTCGGAGGTTTGCACAAATTTTACACACGACGTCGTGCAGTGCGGCCACGGGGCTGGGTTTATGAGCTTCACGTTCATGGGCACGATGCCTGTGGGTAGAAATTGGAGAATGATCCAGGAGTTATGGGACACGTGGCAGGGATGGGACGGGTGCGAGAGCATAGGTCGCAGGGAGAAGTAAATTTTGATGTATCGGAATTGGATAGTGAGGTCCAGGTTGCATGACCTCGAGAGTCACAGAAGATCTAGTAACGATGTAAGTGTTAGTGTGAAGTCGAAGAGTCGAAATGTAGACGCAAATGACAAAGAGCGTGGCGACTTACAGAAGGCGATCACTAGTATGGAGTGCTGGAAGCTTTGACGAGAGCAGCGTGCGCCAGGAGCGTTCGGATACAACATCCATCACCTCGCTAGAAAACAAGACAGAACAACAAAGGGAAAAAGTGACTCTCTGGAGAGCGGGAAACTGCTTTCCGGAGAGGATGCGGTCCATGTCTGCAAAGGAGTCACTGTCGATGCTATTCAATTTGCGCTGGATGGAGACAAATGTCGCCGGATTGGCGGGCCAGGACACAATTGTGACCTCAACTAGCTTGAGTAAAGACGCGCGAGACAAGATTCTGGCTGCATCGGTAATGCCTTCGAGTCCGCCATTCAACACCAGGACACGCAAGTTGACAGCGGGAGTGAGATCGACTGAGACTGAGGGATCACCGTCAACAGAACCTGGATACTGTCACCTCTGCCACCTACCTTCGCGAATAAAAGAAACCTCCAGGGTCAAGAGTGATTCGGCGGACACAGCGAGCAGCTCCTGCAGCTTCTCCAGGTCGCCTCCGTAGCAGGTGAGATGGCGAAGGTGCACGCTGATCAACACGAAAAAGTCGAACACGTCATCGCTGCGATGCAGATCGGCAGCGTCGAGTCGCAGTGAGCCTGGTACTCGCACCGCGCCTGCAACATTGCAGCATTTCTGTAATTGCACTTGCAGACAGTTGAGGGAGGAGAGCCGGGGAAGCGCGCGCACAAGCCGCCCAAATACCACCGCAGACGGGAAGGTCACCTTGTAGAGAGTAAGCAGAGTGATCGACCCGAATGTGAGAGCGACATGGAGGAAAACCTGCGTGTGCAGCTGCCCAGTCTCCCATGTGCACTCTTCGAGTCTGAGCCGCTCGACTTGAGGCAGCTTTTGCATCATCCGCACAGCAAATGACCCAAAGGGACCAATTGGCCTCCCGCCGAAATCGAACCAGACTGCTCTGATGGCACGGCACCGCTCGGGGTGCTCGCCCAGCGCGCTGATCAGTTGATATACCTGCTTCCTGTCCACGAGCCGCTTTTTGAGCCTCTTGTCATAATGAAAGCGACGTCGGATGGACCATCCACGACACACTTGGCCAAGTGTTTGCATGTTGTAGCTGTCCTCGTCGCGACTCGCCATGAAATCGATTATCCGCTCCCATAATTCCATCGGAAGCCGACTCGAAACCACGGGGCAGATGTCGAATAGTTGCATGAACGTCCGCTCTGCGATGGAAGCGTCCCAGCACGACCGTCGCACGTTCCGCTCTGTACTGCATTCAGCAAACTCACACGCAGCAGAGGGGAACTGCGCACTTCCAACTGTGGTGACCTCCTCCACTTCAACCTTATCTGCCACAGAATGGGCATCTTGGGAGCTATGTGTTAGAATGATGTCTGTAGGGAGAGTTTCCATGTGCAGTAGGTGGCTAAGATTTGAAGTCTGTCAGACCTCCTCGACCTATGAGTAGACCAGTAATTATAGTTGTCTGTCCCTATGATAGGATATTAGCGTCACAGACCAAGTGGACCAATACCGAGACTGCGTTCAGAAGGTCTTCTTATTGGGGAGCGGGAATCCCACGGCATTTTGGGTGATTGCGTGGTACTACATGTCCCACTAGCTCAGTGTGCACGCCATTGAGTAGATTTTAAATCACAGTCGCATTTTTACCACTTGTGATACGGAATTAAAATGCAGATGAGATGTAGATGCAGTGCTACACGTTGTCCAAGCCGTTTCTCGACGAATGAGCTAGTTCCCAAGCAATGCGCCACTTTGTGACAAACTTGAGGTAAACCGGTACCTCCTCAACGTGGACTGGGCACGAACAGCCGCAATGTAGCTGCGTCTGATATAGAAATGAACAGAACTGCCACAGCTGATGTGCCCATCGCTCGTGTTCCTGGTACAGGCGCTGTCGACACTCTCGACGAGGTCGCGCCCAGACAGCACAACTGCCTTCGACACGGACGTCGCAAACTGACGTCAACACATCAGCTCGCCGAGGCCGTCGTATTCACATTTAGCGTCCGTGGTGATTCAATGACGTCGTGGATTCACACAAGGG